TTTTCTTCCTGTGGCCACTGTCAAGCCCAGGGCCATCATTTCTTCTAGCAGAGTAAGAGAAATGATGTTAGACTCTTAACTTCTGATTAAGTATAAATATTTTAGAACTAATTTAATGCCCTTAATTCATGGGAAGGTAACACGCACACACAGACTCAAATACCTATTTTTTAAAATAATTAAAAAATTTTTTCAATTACAGTTGACATACAATATTATATTAGTTTTAAGTGTACCAACAGTGATCAGACATCTATATAACTAATGAAGTAACCACCCCAATAAATCTATTATCTATATGACACCATACATAGTTATTACAATATTATTGACTATATTCCTTATGCTATACCTTACATCCCCATGACTACTGTGTAACAACCAATTAGTACTTCTTAATTCCTTCCCCCTTTTCACCCATCCCAACTCCCCTACCATCTGGCAACCATCAAAATATTTCTGTATTCATGAGTCTTTGCTGTTATGTTTTGTTAGTTTATCATGTTCTTTAGATTCCACATTAAGTGAAATCATATGGTTTTTATCTTTCTCTGTCTGACTTACTCCAATCAACAAATTACCTTCTAGTTCCTTCCATGTTGTTGCAGATGGCAAGATTTTACTCTTTTTTATGGCTGAGTAATATTCCACTGTATACAAGTATATGTACCACCTCTCCTTTATCCATTCATCCATTGATGGACACCCAGGCTGCCTCTACATCTTGGCCATTGTAAACAATGCTGCAGTGAACATATGGATGCACATGTCCCTTCAAAGTACTGTTTTGGGCTTCTTCAGATAAATACCCAGAAGTGAGATAACTGGGTCCTTCTTTGTCTTTTATTATAGCCTTTGTTTTAAAGTCTGTTTTGTCTGGTATAAGTATTGCTACTCCAGTTTTTTTTTGTTTCCGTTTTCATGAAATATTTTTTTCCATCCCTTTAATTTCAGTCAATGTGTGTATTTTGATCTGAAGTGAGTTTCTTGTAGGCAACATATGTAAGGGTCTTATTTTCATACCCATTCAGCCACGCTGTGTCTTTTGATTGGAGTATTTAATCCATTGAAAGTAATTGTTGATAGATATGTAGTTTTGACATTTTATTCATATTTTTTATCTTTTTTTTCTTCTTCTTCTAAAGAAGTTCCTCTAACATTCCTGGTAATACTGGTTTGGTGGTGATGAACTTCTTTAGCTTTCCCTTGTCTGGAAGCTCTTTATCTGTCCTTAGATTTTAAATGATAGCCTTGCTGGGGAGAGAAGTCTTAGCTGTAGGTCCTTGCTTTGCATCACCCTGCGTATTTCCTGCCAGTCCCTTCTGGCCTTCAAAGTTTCTGTTGAAACATCAGCTGACAGTCTTATGAGAGCTTCCTTGTAGATAACTAACTGCTTTTCTCTTGCTGCTTTTAGGATTCTGTCTTTGTCTTTAACCTTTGTCATTTTAACTATAATGTGTCTTGGTGTGGGCCTGTTTGGGTTCAGCTTGTTTGGGACTTGATGCACTTCCTGGGCCTGTATGTCTATTTCCTTCACCAGGTTAGGGACATTTTCAGTCACTATTTCTTCAAATTGGTTTTTAATTCCTTGCTCTCTCTCTTCTTGTTCCGGTACCCCTATGATGTGAATGCTGGTACTCCTGATGTTGTCCCAGAGGCTCCTTAAACTCTCCTCATTTGGGGGGATTATTGTTTTCTTTTTGCTCTTCTGAGGGGATGTTTTCTGCTACTTTATCTTCAAATTGCTGATTTGAACCTCTGCTTTATCCAATCTATTGTTGATTCCCTCTAATATATTCTTCATTCCAGTTATTGTAATCTTCATTCCTGACTGGTTCTTTTTTATGTTTTCTGTCTCCATTTTTATGTTTCCTATCTCTTTGTTGAAGTTCTCCCTGAGATCATTGAGCATCCTTATAACCAGTGTTTGGAACTCTGCGTCTGGTAGATTGCTTGTCTCCATTTTGTTTAGTTCTTTTTTGGAGCTTTGTTCTAGTCTATAACTTGGGACATGTTTCCTTGTTGTCCCATTTTAGCTGTCTGCTTGTGTTTGTTTGTATGTATTAGGTAGGGCTGCTATGTCTCCTGGTCTTAGTAGAGTGGCCTTATGTACTAGTAGGTGTCCTGTGGGGCAGAGTGGCACTGTCTCCCTGGTCACCCGAGCTGGGTGCTGTATGTGTGTCCTTTGTGGGGGTGTGCCCTCCTGTTGTAGTTGAGCGTTGATGCTGGCACATCAGTGGGAAGGACTGACCCTCAGGCTGATTGGTTGAGGCCTGGCCGTGACTGCAGTGGAGGAGCTGTTGTGCAGGGGCTGACCCTACAGAGCAGGGTTCTCTTTAGTGGGGCTCTCGTGCCTGCCCAGTCTGCCCTTTGGGTGTGTCACTTGCAGAGGCAGCCAGATGGTGCTCTGGCTCAGTCTGAAGTTGGCCACTGGGTGTGTTGGCCGTGGGGACTCCTGGGAGGGGCCCCGTCACAGGCCACATTCAGCTGCAGCCTGTGCCCTGCCTGGGGACACCTGGCATGAGCCCCAAGCAGTCCTACGCTGGGCTTGGAGGCACCTGGGAGAGGCTAAGCTGAGAACTGAGGCTGGCTGCCACATGTGCCAGGCTTGGGGCTGCTTAGCAAGAGGTATGGGGCATGCCAAGGCCAGGTGCTGCTTGTTTGGGGTTTGTGAACCTTTGAGAGGTTTTAAGAAAGTCTGCAGCATGAGCCAAGACAGGCCGTTTGTATGGAAAAGTCACTGGAAGTAGCTTGGGTGGGCCTGCAAGTTGGGTGGGGTGAACAGTGTAGCCAGGTTGATGGAGACACAGATATGACATCTGCCCGTGTCTGTACGCCTGGAGGGAGGTGGGCTCAACAAAGGAACAATGGCTTCTGCCAGCACTTCTGTCTGAGAGAAAGCTGCTGCTCCAGCCTTGACTTTGAAGCCAGACAACTCCATTCCTCCCCTTATGTCCCTGGCGCCTTTTGAGAGGCGGCCCCAGTGCTGGAGCTCAGAGCGAATGAGTCTGTCAGAGTAAGTCCATGCAGAGTAAGTCCAGCCACACTCTGTCTCATTCAGCAGCAATCTCTACTCTTTTTCATAACCAGGAGTTCTGGAGTCTTCTCTTCCTGGCGCTGGAACCCTGCACTGAGGAGCCGGATGTGGGGCTGGGACCCCTCGCTCCTCAGGTGGGACCTCTGTAGCCGAGATAGCCTTCTGATTTTTAACTGCCACATGTGTGTGAGGACCAGCCCATTCTGCATCTCCACCACTCCTTCCAGTCTGAAAGTGACTTTTTCTGTATGTCCTTAGTTGTAGGCTTCTGTTCAGCTAATTGGCAGGCAATTCAAGTGATGGTTGTTCTGTAGTTTAGTTGTAATTTTGATGTGGTCATGAGAGGAGGCCAGCACAGCATTTACCTGCTCCCCACATACCCATATTGTTAATGTTCAAAGGCCACGTTTAGTTTTCACTTGCAAGTGAGCTGAATACATAATAACAATCCTGGATCCATGGCCTGGTTGTGAGCAGCAGCACCCTTACCATAGGCCATTAGCTGGTGCATGGATATTCTATAGGCTGGTGTATCGGGTCCACTGGAGTTAAGGTCGTTTTATTTTAGGAATCATGGAGGTGGTTTCTATTTTAGAATTTTAGAATTCTAGAAAGCAAGTAGATTACACTGAGGGTGAATTTAGTATGTGCAGATAAATGCACTTAGATGTATTTTAGGTACAGTACTAGTCAGTGCTCTGGAGTCAGATTGTCTGGGCTTCTTACTTCCTAGCTGTGTGCCTTTAGGCAAGTTATAAGCTTCTCTGAATCCACCTCTTCTCATCTGTAAAATGGGGATGGTAATTATAGCTAACCGTCTTTTAGGGTCGTGAGGATTTAATGAAATAAAACCTATGAAGTGCTTATTAGCTCAGTGCCTGACACATGAAAAGTGCTTTGTAATTGTAGCTGTTACTGTTATACAACTAATGGTTAACACTTGTTATTTAAGTGTGTTAGTATCTACACCACTCATACTTCATTACTACATGTTAATCTTCCCTGCTCCTGCTCTTGTATATAAATCAGGCTTTCAGGCCCTGATCTGCTTCCCATCTCTTCTGAGCCCTCCACACCTCCAACATTGATAAGCTGTTCTTACTTTAAGGGTGCAGACGTCCAGCATCACCGTTCCATTCCTCTAGTCCTGTTCGCAGCTTACTCCTGCAAGCGGCTCTGCCTGTCTCCTCTCTTCCCCACCTCCTCACTCCCTCCCGCCTTGCCCTCTCTACCCTTTCTTCACTCATCTCCCTCTTATCTCCCTCTCTTTTCCTTCTCTCTTTCTTCCTTTCCCCCACACTCTTCTCTCTCTCCGACTTTTCTTCCTCTTTCTATCCCCCCTTCTTCTATCCCCCTCTTACTTGTCCCCTTCTCTTGCCCCCTCTGTCTCATTCTTGCTACCCTCCTTCCTTCTCCTTGTCACCCTCCCTCTTGTCCTCTCTCCTCTTTCTTATTTCCTTCCCTTCCCCTTTTCTCTCCCAGCTTTTCTGGCCCTTTCCCTCTCTACCCACTCCCAACTTACTCCCTCACCCTCTCTCTTCCCCTCCATCTCTTCTCCTCATCCCCATTTCTCTTCTAATCCCTAACAATTGTCATACTAAGGAGTAGACAGCTCTAGCTCTTAAGCTGAAAAATGTCAAGTCTTTAAAGTCTTTATTGCTTCTGATGAGAAATATTTATTTTGTCATTTCAGTAGCCAGAGCCTTTCCATATTGTGCTTCTCTGTCCATTTCAACAGGATGTCACAGCATCATTTTATGTCTCTTGGGCTCAAGTAGAACTCAAAAGGCAGTTACAGTTAACTTGTTTTCTAAAATCTATACATTTGTTTAATGTTAGTTTTATTATATAAAGTTAAAATGAAGTAATGTTTCTAAATAATAATTATGGGTCCATATAGTAATGCTAAGCAAAATCTAATCTTTTCTGCCTAATTTATTTGATTTTTTTTTTATCTCTCCAGATTCCTTTCTCGTTGGTCCAGTTTCCCTTGTGGGAATCCTTAAAAGTAAGTTTTCCAATCTTCATATAAAATTTCTCTCTAATTATCATAAATAACCAATAGTTTTAGTGTGGAATAATAGAATATAACACTGACTAACAGTTTAAACACTCAAAATTATTAAGAGTTGAAAGTGTTTTGTGTGTGTGATACATGCCAGTTCAGTCTTTTAAATTTGTTCAGTTTAACAAGTGCTGAGCAATAAGCATACAGGTGTAACTGAAATACTCAGACGTTAGGGGAAAACTGCTTTTCTTTCTTCTGGATGGAAGCTCTTTTTCCACTCAGTTGAATTTATTTCACTTCACTCTGTCCCTTTCTCTCTCTGTCTCTCTCTCTGTCTCTCTCTGTCTCTGTCTCTCTCTCTCTCTGTGTGTGTGTGTGTGTGTGTGTGTGTGTGTGTGTGTGTGTGTGTAGAAGTTAAGGAATAACATTGAGGGTAAATGAAAAATGAAAGAAAGCAGGGCCCTGAATATTTGTAGGCCTAGGCCAGGCCTCCGCTTCCGAGCTGCAGGGGCCATGCTGTTTTGCGGGCCCTCCATCTTTGCTGCTCACCCGGCTCATTAAGCCTAGGAGCCCCCAGTGAGAAGGCAGAAGTGGTGAGTTGTGAGTAAGCCTCGGTAGATCACTCCTGTTTAAAAACAAACAAACAAATTTAAAAAAAAATCTGTGTTCAGATATGCAGAGATGTATTTGTTTTTCATCTTCTGATATGATGATTTTAAAAATTGTGGGTCATAATATGAATTGTATGGGTGTCAGCATTTTGAAGACGAATAAAAAAGAAAATTACTAATAGAGAACATCTTATGTGGTAACGATAAGTCTTATTTTGCAAAACTTTAGTGTTGTATGCACATATACACACACACACACGTCTGTACTGCGTTGCAATGTAAAATTATTTCTCACTGTATAATGATCAAAAGATTTGAAAGCCCTTGTTCAAGTGAAAATGGTTTATAAATGACCAAACTATAAAATGGCAAAGTAATTAAGTAGGCATTTGGTAATACAAAAAATAAAGGACTTACTCCCATAGTTGCGTGGAATTGGTAATCATAGAGTGCTCGTGCAGAATGTCTTTTGAAGACTAACAAAAATTATTTGGACTCTAAAAAATATTCTTTTGCAATTATGTACTGAGGATAATAAAATCACAAAGCATTACTCATAAAAACTTCTGGAATATTAAGTATTGAGAAATAGGTCTTGTAACATCTAATTTTAAGGAGTAATACAGTTTATTTAATGTGGTGGTTTCTGGGATCATTCATGGTTGCTGTGTTTGTTTTTGTTTTTACCATTTTCTTTGTGGTGCATGGTGAAAATGGATTTCTCAGGCAGGGTTTCCGGGCATGATGTAACAGCTATCCAATGAGAAGGTCACATTCCACGAGCATAACTGCTCTCCACTCTTGTGTGTGACAAAAGGACAATGGAGCCAACAGCTGTCCAGCAAACAAGACTCACTTTATTAGTGTCTCAATAAGCAGCATTCACACGGCTTCTGCGCACTCTCTAACATCCTATGCCCTGTCTCTGCATAGGAATGTTTTGAGGCCCAAAGAGGGAAAAAATATGGGGTTTATTTCTTTTCAGTATCGAGGACATTTGTAGTATTCTAGCTAGTTAAGAAATGTCTAGGCTTTTTCAGAGTAATCATAGATAAAAATGTTAAACTTTAACAATTTTCTTAGCGTAAATGTTAAAATGCTACACATACTACACACACCACACACACACACACACACACACACACACACACACATTTAAGTTGGGGTTATTGAGGAATAATTTCCATTCAGGAAAATTCACCCTTTATAAGTGTACATTTTTATGAGTTTTGATAAATGCTTATGACACCACCATAACCAAAATATAGAATATTTGTAGTATTTTCTTCTCCAGATTATCATATAAAGAGAACCACACACTATTTAGTCTTTAGTGTTTTGTGCCTGGCTTCTTTCACTTAATATGATGCTGTTGAGATGAATTTTTTTGCTTGAACCAGTAGTCTGCTCCTTTTTGTCACTAAGTAGTGTTCCATTGTGTGGATGTCCTACAATTTGTTTATCTGTTTACTAGTTAGTGCACATTTGAGTTGCTTCCTGTTTTTGATGATTATGAATAAAGCTGCTATAAATAGTTGCATAAAGGTATTTGTATGGACCTATGTTTTTGTTTCCCTTGGGTAAGTACCTAGTAGGGGGTAGCTGGGCCATAGGGAAAGTATAAGTTTAATTTTGTAAGAAACTGTGAGCTGTTTTTCCAAAGTGGCTCTGCCATTTTGCAACAATGTATGAGAGTTCCAGTTGCTCTGCAGCCATGCCATTACTTGTTATTATTAGATTCTAAAACAAATTTTAGCCATTCTGATAGTTGTGAACTGGTATCTCATTGTGGTTTTAATTTGCAGTTCCCTCATGGCTAAGTAATGCCGAGCATCTTTTCATGTAATAGTGTTTTTTTAAAGAAAAGACATCCAAATGTGAAATCATAGTGCTTTTTAGAAGTATACAATTTTTGACACTTTTATTTTTGTGTGTATGATTTTATCCATTTAAATTTGCTTATGCCACCACAGAGAGATTGTATTATATGGAAGGGTTACTCTATTATGTTCATGTGGAAATTCTACCCTGGAATTTAGGACGTTAGCAGATTGTGTGCACATTATGCTATAAGGAGTGGGAGTCGGGAGGTTGGGACGGCCACTTATCTTAACCGTCCTCTGCCTAAAATCGAAGTTGTCACCTTTCTTCTGAAATCACTCTGCTGCTGTCTCCCTGATCCCTGTTAATCATACTACTATTCCCTTGACCCTTTGGGGCCTCATACCCCAAATTACAATCTGATTCTCTTCTTTGTCTTTCTCCATGTCATATCATGTCATTCACCAAGTTTGGTTGGCTGTAACTTTTTGGAACCTGTGGCTTCCTTTTTACCAGACTAATTAACTTACGCCTGCACTAAGTTAACAGTTCCTCTGCTTTCTCATCCATTCTACACATTGAATTTGTGTGTTCTTCCTTAAACATCTCTCTGAAGTTCTTAGAAATTTATAACTTTCTAAAACTCTAAAACATGACGTTGTTGGCACTCAGGGATGTCCACACTGTGTTCTTACTGGTTTTTCCAGCTCTCCTCCACATATATATTTTTTTGCCAAATCACTTCCCTCTAGCCAGAATAGTCCCCTCACTGCCCCGGTTCTTTGGCTCCTTTCTGAAATGTGCTTGCATGGGTCCAAATACTATGCATCTTTTAAAGCCAATTCAGTTTTTGGTTTTTTTTCTTTTCCTTGATGTCTTTTAACCCCGGCTCTGAAGATTTCCCTTACTTACCTAGCATTTGGCTATATTGCTGATTTTTATTTAATCATGCCCTATATTGGGTTTAAAACATCTCAGAACTAAGCCTTAGCATATTCGAACAAGGCCTCAACTCCTTTCACTTACAGCTAAGTGACGCATGAGGTTGGTGTGCGCATGTGCTGCCTGCCTACTCTGAGCTGCACACTGTTCCATTTCTCAGCACTGCGGAGTTGAGTAGGGCACAGCTAACGCCCCTGGGAGCTTAGAGCCTACCAGAGATGCACACATCCACAGTTAATGTCATGGTAAGCGCCTGTAACTGAACACTCTTCAGGTAACGTGGGATCCCCCCGCCTCCCCAAATCATGTCACTGCACTATCTCATTTCATATATATATTTATAATTCATATACTTATATAAAGGATTTTAGATGAAAGAAGACGAGACACCATAAAGAGGAGGGAAATAAAAGTAGATTATCATATCCAGAACTTCCAAGAAGATCATTTTCCTTTAGGATTTATGTGAGTTTGGCACTTTCTGACAGCCCAACAAGAGGAGCGTGAGGGAGTGCATGGCTCTCCTTACCCGATGAAGACCTGTAGCTTATTATTTGGTATCGTCCCGTGGCTTTGACTGCCATCTTTATATGGATGACTTGCACTCTTGCAGCTCTGTGGTGGACTCCTCTTCTGAGTTCCAGTCTCCAATGACCACATCCCAGCTGATACCCTCACTCAGAGGCCTTAGAGGAACCTGTTCAGATAAGAGCTCTTGTTGTTTATTTTCCTTCTCTTCAACCTGTTCCTTGCCAGTTGTTCCTTCTCAGTTAATAGCACAGACCTTTGCATGCTAAAGAAGAAACCTAGGAATCATTCTCCTTTGCCCTTGTCCCTCATAGTCCATTCCATCAACAAGTCCACTGTTCTGATTGAAACCTCTAACATTGGACCCTCACATGGCCTCCTGATTCCATTCGTGCTTCTCTAAACTGTCATCTCTTCACAGCAGCCAGAATGATCTTCTGAAGAAATAAACCACGTCATACTATTCTCTGCAAAAACCCATCAGTGACTTCTCTTTGAAAGGCGTTTAAACTGTGGCTGATAGGGTCCTTTTCATTTGCCCCCTGCCTACCTCACTGACGGTGTCACCTCCCGGGCCACCCTGACTATGCTGCAGCCGCGGTGTCTACTTCATGCACATCGGCCCTGCTGGCCTCCTCTCTGTTGTGTTTGAACATGCCGAGCTAGTACTTACCCAGGGTGTTTGCATTTGTTGTGCTCCCTGCCAGAAGTATTCTTTATTCACTCACTCTGTACACCATTACTGAGTGCCTGCTATGCGCCAGGCATTTTCTAGGGTCTGGAGATACAGTGACGAAGAGGACTGACAAAAACCCTTCCCTCTTTGAACTTCCATTCAAGCCCTGACCCTAGGCTTTCGTCATGTCCGGCTTTCTCATTCCCCAGTCTTAGATCATATGTCACCTCAGAGAGGCATTTCCCACCCACCCCTCTGAGAGCAGGACCTTCCCTCCTCAGTAATCACAACACCTGGTCATTTCCTTCCTAGCATTTTCATAACAGTTTATTTAGTCATGCACTTATTATCTCCTGAATACTTACTTTAAAGAATCCCTGTGTCTTGAGCAGATACTATATGCCGGGCACAGGCTGAGCACT